AATCAAAAGAAATCTATGCTACTGTCCTGTGCTGTTCAATTACCTTCTTGCTGTCTTATATCTTATAGGAAGTTAGTATGGGGGAGGGATTGAATAGCAGGCCACACCAGAGGTTCTACTTGCCTTGTAAAGGTATCTAGATTCTTTTCAAAGATGAATACCAACTGTGCTTTTGCTGTCATATGATAAAATTTTAATAGAAACAAGTCACAGATGTAAAAATTCCTGCCTCTGAGATCCAATTGTGCTCCCTGTTTATCTACCCAGGACATTAAAATGTCGCAAAAGAGCTGGAGCCACATGAGCAGCCACCGTCAGTTCCTGTAATACTTTATTTAACAGGCAGAACCCCACAGTGAGGTCCACCTGCCCTGGGAGGTGCCCTTCCACAATGGCCACATGAGATCTAAATTATCACGGCCACAGCCCTTCTCCTAAGAGCTTGAAGTCAAAGGCCTCTGCCAAAGATATGAAGTATTTGCCAACAGCCAAGACCTTTCTGGCTCACAAGCTGAGCTTTGAGGCAACAGAACAAGTACTTGAGACAGAGAGGATAGGCACACATTCCTAAGAGACTATGTTGCCTTCAGTTTTCAAGCATCCACAAAGCTCCATTTGCCAGAATCCTCTAACAGATTCCAGCACAATGTCCTTGTGTTTGGCATGACACTGGCTTTAAAGCAAGTTTAATCCAAAACCATCACACTGCTGCTCCCAGCTGGATATTTTTAAATCAATGATCAAAAACCAGGTGAAGTGATTTTAGTAAGTACCACAGCTCTGAGAAGGAGCCAGAATATCCCAGGCTTCGTGTGCACCAATTCTTCCACTACCCGTCATTGGCTCAAATATTTACAGTGATCATAATTCATCATTAAAGAAGGCGTGATGAGCTGGGCATAGTCATTCACACCCGTAATCCCTGCTCTTGAGAGACTGGGGGCAACAGGATCGTCGAGATTTTGGGGACATCCTGAGCCTCACAGTAAGTGCCAGGCCAATCAGACAGTCACAGGAAGACCCTGCCTCAAAATGCAACCCAAAAAAGGAAAGGAAGGAAGTTGGTTTCGATGCTGTGTGGTGATGATGAAGAAGAAACTGACAAGACAGTCTCTTCTCTAAAGCTTCACATATTCTTATGTGGGGTAAGACATGGTGGAGCCTTTGCTGGCTACAAAGCAAGGCCACCCAGCCTCCATATCCTCCATTTCTAGGAGTCCTCAATATGGTCAACCTCACAGATTCCAGGAAGTTCCCACTGCACCCTGCAGAAGAGGAGGAGTAAAGACTGGAGGAGTAAGAGGGTGGGAGGACACGGGGAGAACATGGCCCACCGCATGAACTAAGCAGGGCTCACAGACACTGATATGACAAGCACTGGGGCTTGCGTGAGTCTGCACCAGGTCCCCTGCATATGGCCGTTAGCTCGATGTTCTTGTGAGACTCCTAACAGTAAGAGCAGGCTTGTGTCTGACTCTTTGCCTGCTCTTGGGACTCTTTTCCTCCTGTTGGGTTGCCTTGTCCAACTTCCACTTGAGGGCTTTTGCCTTGTCCAATCTCGCTGTCATCTCTTGGGGACTCTCTTTTCTTTAAAGGAAAGGAAGGGGGAGTGGAGCTGGGGTAGAGAGGAAGCAGCAGGAGCTAGGAGGAGTGGAAGGAGGGAAAACTATGGTGGTATTGTGTTGTATGAATGAAGAATCTATTTTCAGTTAAAAAAGGAAACAGTGGAAGTGCACAGTTTTAATCATAACCATGGGGAAGTAGACATACACGGATCTCTGTGAGTTTGAGGTCAACCTAGTCTACATAGAGAGTTCCAGGCAGGGCAACATTGTGAGACTCTGTTTCAGAGAGAGAGGAGGGAAGGAGAAAGGAAAGGAGGAAGGGAGGGAGGGAGGGAAGGAGGGAAAGAGGGAGGGAGAAAGGAAAGGAGGAAGGGATGGAGGGAGGAAAGGAGGAAGGAAAAGTCTAAGGCAAATGTGTCCTAATACCAATGTTAGAAAGTTCAGGAAATCAAGGTGTGAGGAACATGTACTGAAGTATAAAGATGGTACATGGAGAGAGCTTGGAGCTACAGGAAGGTCTTTAGTGTAGAATGTGGATTTTGAGGAAATTTCAGACAGGGAATCAGACTTGCCTTAGTGAAAATTCACAGCTCTGAGTAGGACCTATGGTGAGGTTACAAAATTGTGGTCAGACGGAGAGAGACTTGAATCGTCTAGACCAGAGTTCCCCAGCCTGGTCTTCGTAACTTTGAACTGCATCAAAGGGGCTTCGCTGTGCATTGAAGGTGCCCAGTAGAACCCTAGCCTCTACCTGTCATGTGCTATTTGTACCCTTAGCCCCCTGATTGGATAAATACCATATCTCTTTCCATTCTTTTAAATGGCCCATTCAAATTATACATGGTCGAATTTGATGTAATTCCCCTAGTAAGAAAACGTTGCTTTCTTCAATACCATGTTCCTAAGATAGGGCATAAAAAGTTAACAGAATGCATGTTTCTGTTGTGGCAGGCTGTGGTAAGATACTGGCTTCTAATTCCAACCTGAACTCTGGCTAGAAATTTCCCAGGGAGCTAAGTAAAGAAGATAGTATTTATTTTATTTCAGGTATATGTGTATGTGTGCCTACGTTCATGTAGGTACACCACAGGTGTGCAGGTGCTTGTGAAAGTCAGAAGAGCGTACAGGTTCCCCTGGAACTTAAGTTACAGGTGCTCATGAGATGCCAGATGTGGATGCTGGGAATTAAACTCAGGACCTCTACATGACTAGTAAATGCTCGCAACTTCAGAACCATCTTTCAAGCCCAAGAGGTAGTATTTTTATTTGATGTCCTAACACTAAATTTTAACTTTACTCACACTAGAAATTCTGAGTTAGGCAACCTAGAATTTAAGTTAGCTGACCTATAATTTAAATAAAAATAAAAAGAGAGATGTTATCATTTTCTATTTCCACCTACTGGTCATGTGGGAATGTTGTTTTTCAATGTCCTGTAGGCTGCAACCTACCGGAGAATGGGATTGATGACTTTAATTCACAGCAAATTTGGGAGGCAGCCACTCTCAAGTTCAAGAGTAAAAAAGAATTGTCTGCATTCAGTTCTACACACGCTGGGTGTGCCACAGGGAACAGAAGTCAGTAATAGTATAGATGCATTAGGCACTGGTATTTAATCACTGTCCCTGAGATGCAAGCTGAAGCTGGCCTGCTTCTTGGAAGAAGAATAGAAGACACTAAAGCCATCTTACAGTGAGTATTTCATCCATGGTAGAATTTTTATTAAAACCATGAATCTTATCAAGACAAGCTACCTGGGAGATGCTTCAACACAGAGACTCTGTGAATGCTGCCTGGTCACTTCCTGAGTCTGCTGCAGTCAGAGGTGACCTGCACCAAAGTAGGAAACAAGCAAACACACAAGGTGATCAGTCTAAGACTAAGAGTGAAAGAAGTCACTAGTGGTCCTATGTTGTCAGCTAAAGCTGTGTGTAAAATTACTTATATGTGTGCATTTAAAAATATGCGATTATATAGGAAATACAAGGTTGTGTTATAAGTGCCCATTTACTTCCTCATCTTCTGGTTTGGAGCATTATTAATGAGATTGGTGATGATACTTTAATATGTAGCTAATTTCCAAATACATGGAAATTGTTAGTCTATCAGAATACCGATTCTTCAAAAAGAAAAAAAATAATTATGGCATGCACTTTAAGAAAACAAAATATAGCAAAGTAGTTCAACCACAATAACACATTTAATTCAAATAATGTCAGATGGTGTGTACCTAGAATGTAGCAGGATGGGGACGGTGGACTCTAATGGACACAAGGATTAATTGCGCTGTGAGGAGTTGTCTTCTACTAATAAATCTCAAGAAATAATAAGTGAACCTGAGGAAGGGTTATGGTTAGACCGTTTTCAAGTGGATCCAAAATCAAAAGACATCTGAAGTTCAAATTGCTATGGTGATCATTTTAGACAGCCCAGGCTAAAGAAAGTTGAAGAGGAAGGGCAGGTTTGGCGCTGGGGGCAGAGGGCATCCAGCATTGTCTGGGGTCCTTTCTTCCCTAGCCTTTCCATCTTCCATTCTCACTAGACACCCTCTGTCCTCCTCACTCCCTCACTATTTCTCAATACATGGGTTGCAGACCTTCGGGTTTCTGCAGCTCCAATCATCTGGCACCTGGAGTAACAACGCCAGCCAAAGGTAGGGAGAAGAGAGCAATACGGGAGATAAAGTGGAGAAGAATGTTGGGAAAGAGATATTGATAGAGGTGTGTGTAATGTACCTTGGTTACTTTCAGGGTAAGGGTTAGGGCGCCTTAGACACCAGGTGCCCCTCTTTCTTAATTCTAGTCTGTAATTCTCTCAGCAAGCAAAGTCTTTTAAAAAACATTCACTTTTAAGAGATGTGAACTATTTACTATTTATATGTGATTATTCCATATCACAGTCACCATATGGATTATTAAATAACTTTAGGCTGCCTTTGCCACCGTCAGCTCCTGTGGGATATCTATTTAAAACTGCTCAAGTTTACGCTCTCAGAGAACATGTTGTTCTGAGGCATCTGACCTCCACAGTAATTTCCTTGGCTTTAGTAGAAATTATGATGGTGCAATATTCTAGAAAATTGCCTATTCAGAAAAACAGAAGAATCCATGTTCTCTCATTTCTCATTCTTAATCAACTGAAAATAAAAGGCTATATTAAGAATTCTTGGTTGTTGCTAACCAGCTGCTTCATCCTGCAGGGTGACTTCATGCCTCCAGGCCTGGCCATCCTCATCTGTCAAAGAACTTCTAGAATAAAAGTCCATTTGTCTTGTTTAATGAAAGCTGAGTTTCTGAGTAGGGTATTCCAAGTTGTTAATGGCGTAGGAGGGGTTGGAGGAAGCCATACATTCTACAACTTCCACTCAGGCCCCTAATTCTGTATTAACCATGTTAGTGTAAATGACTCAATGCAGGTGTTTTTTTTTCATTACAGATAAATAGGATTTACAAGCCCCTGGGAGCTCTAGAGAAGTCTTCAAATGCCACAATCAACCTCTATTTTAAAGAAAACAAAATAGATGGTTCTGGGAAGTCCATGCTGTTTCTTCATTGAGTTTTAGGTGAGTGCTTAAGACAAAAATTTCAAGATGGACATTAATCTAATCTCTCAAAATGTGCTTTTCTTCTTTCCATAAAAAATGGGGTTAAGCAGTATCAATGTCTTTTATTCAGTTTTGTACTTTCAATGACTTCCCAATTAAAGACTTCATTTCTTTACTTTTGCTTGCTTTCTATTAACAGAAACTATCTGAACTGAAGTTATGTGAGAAGTGGTTTATATTGGGGAAAAATCCACACTACTTTATTCTATTATAAATATTTTATTGACTATCAGAGTATTAAGTCTGAATGAGGTACAAGATAACCAGGCCTTAATAGCATAAACTGAAAGGAAGGTTGATGGTGGTGATGTTGGCTTACTAACATGTCAATAGGTAATTCACAAAGCTTCCTGTTGGGGGGAGGTTATAATGTCTAAATTAGAAGCAAGAAACAATAAAGGTCAAGTACACTAAATCTTACAATGTGACATACAATGACAGATAAATATGTGCATGTGCACGAAAGACTAGGACTGCAAATTAGTTATAGAGAATTTTCCTGAAATATGCCACTGTTACTTTTTAGCAGAACAGAGAAAAATGAAGAAGTTGAGTGGTGGTTATGTTGAGAATTCCCACTCCATCCTAAGAGTACCTTTCAAAGTAGTATTGGTTTATTACTGACTTTAAAGACTGGCCATGCCAAGAATATCAGAATAGGGTCATGCTCAGTTCTTAACTAAACAATGCAAACTAGCAGTATGCCTATCATTGCACAAGTCTAATCCTACAGGTGCCCATGCCTCCTTTCTACATTAAAAGTTATGCAAGTGAAAACTCTTTAATCATTTTAAATCAGTTAAAATACAATGTAAGTCAAAGTGACATTATTACGTTTGAAAACAGCTTTAATTAAAATTCAGATTTAGATTCATCATCCACTTTAAGTAAATGAAATAAAAGATCCAAATAATGTGAATGGTAAAATGACTACTTTCAGTACACCAAGATACCCTTTATTACGTTGATTAGCTTCAAAGTGAAAACAAGAGATTCTCTCATAATCTTAAGTGTGTATAAATTTTCTTTACTGAAATTGAATGTAGAACTAAGGGAATGATTTCCTTTATTTTCAAGAGATTTGTTTGCTGTAATTCCCAAGAGTTGCACTGAGTACATTTGAAAAATCTTGGTAAATCATTTGACTCATGTAACCATCACTCTAGAGATTAAAATGAGAAATGTGTTTCTAAGCTCTTTTTTCTGCAGTTGTGTCTGTCTGTGCCCATCTTTATCTTCAGGTCCATTACTGGTTTTGCCCAACTCTAGCTACACAGGGGACTGAGCTCAGTTGGGCTAAGTTGTATTCCAGACATTGCCTTCAGCTTACCTAGGTGACTTCTAACCTTGCCGCCCAGTGATACCACCTCTTCCTTTGTCCTTAAGAACTCAAATGCCAGTGCCTGTGGCTTCTCAATACTACTTAAAGACCTGAAGGCTGCTTCACAGTCCCAAGCTGTGGTGATTTGAATGAGAACGGCCCCTATAAGCTCTTATATCTGAAAGTTTGGCTCCTAGCTGATAGATCTGGTTGGGAAAGATTAGGAAGTGTGGCCTTGTTGGAGGAGATGTGTCACTGTCACTTGACGCAGGCCTGGAGGTTTCAAAAGTCCTCACAATCCCAGTTGCTTTCTTGGCCTCTTGGTTGTTGTCTCAACATGCAAGCTCTCAGCTGTGGCTCCAACAACATTCCCACTTGCCTGCTGCCAGGCTTCCCACCATGAAAATCGTAGACTCTAACCATGAACCCCCACATGAAATACTTTCTTTTATACATTGCCTTGGTCATGGTGTCTCCTGCAGCGATAGAAAAGTAACTAAGACACCAGCTTGGTTTCCCAATTCTTCCATCCTTTGTGTAACCATTTCCTTAGATTAAATTCTGCTTAAAATGCTTAATCTTTTATTTTCTTGGCTAAATTCTAAGGGATCCATCCATGTTTTATTAATTTCTTATAAATCATTAGAAGAAAATGTATGAGAGACAGCTTGCTTCTCCCTCAGCCTCAAAAAAAAACCAAATGATTCCTGGGAAATGAAATTTAAAGATATAGTTGGGTTTTTTTCCTTAACTTGTGCAGGCTTTATATTAAGATATTGGCATATATTACAGACACAAAAATGACACCAAAAGCATAAGCCTCTATCAATATTCACAAGGTATTTGTTGTCAATCAAATCAAGAAATATAAGGTCACTGATATTCCCAAAAGAGCAATTCACAGACTCTTCCAGTCTGTTCACTCAACAGAAACCAAATCCTAGTTGCATCACCACTGGCTGTCTTGTGTATTCATCAATAGAATCACACATTGTGTCCTGTGGTTATGAATCATTCCCTTTAAAGGAAAATAATTGCTATTTTAGAGCAATTTGTGGTTTCCAGAAAAACTGAGAAGAGGGAAGAGGCTTTTCCTGCATCCTGCCCATTTACACACATGCATAGCCTCATCAGCTATCAATAGCCACCACCATGGTAAGGTGTTTATTACAATCAATTGATCGACATTGACTCACCACCACACATAATTCTGTGCATTAGAGACCATTATAAATTTTGACAGAAACACACACAACATGTTTCCATCATTGCTGAGTCTCTTACTTGTATTGGCCTAAAAAAATCTTCCCTCTATGCTAGAGCCACTGGTATTTTTAGTAGACCCAGAGTTTTGCATGTTCTGAGTTGTCATGTGAAAAGGCACATGGCCTTTTCAGGTTGCACTCTATCACTCAGTGACGGACATTTAAATCTCCTATATTTTCATGTCTTGAAGACTTGTTTCTGTTTTAGCCTAAACAATACTTCACTTCTTAATTGTATAACATTGTTTGCATCTAGTCACAATTACAGATATAAACACCTATGTACAGGGTTTTTTGTGTGTGATCATGACATTTCATTTGTGTAAATAACAAGGAACAAGATGGATGGACTGAAGAAGCATATATTAGCATAGTAAGAGGCTGTGCTCCACCTTGCTCTCTTACCAGCAATCAGCACGTACCCTGACACTTCCTTCTCTCAAGAACGTTTGTTGTTGTCAGTGTTTTGGATATTGGTCACTGCAATGTGTGTTGTGTATCTTTGGCTTAATTAACAACTCTCCAATGGCAGATGATACGCACCATCCTTGTATGTGCCCACTTGCCGTCTGTAGGGTGTCTTTCATGAGGTGGCCATTTGGACCTCTGGTCCACTTTTAAATTGGGTTGTTTGTGTTCTTGTTATCCTGTCTTACAAACTGATTGTATGTTTTAAACCCTTTACAGAGACCTTCCCTAAGCTGTGTTTTATCTTGTCTTGAAGAATGGGGAGCAGGGACAATGAAAACAGCAACTTAATATATTTAAAACCATATTATTCTATGTTATACGATATTGCATGAATTTGTTACTATTGAAAAGAAATATTGCCTTCTTTCCCATCTTCCATTCCAAACTAATGAAAAGATTGTTTAAAATTCTTTAAGTATACTCTAAATATGATTTTCATTTCTTTGATGTTCAAATATTATAAATGTCATTATATTTGACACAAGAACATCTTTTTGGGGCACAGCTTCATCTAGAACTATAGTTATGTGTTTGTTTACTCATAGATTTTTCACCTACAAGTTGAGTCTGACATCTTCCTCTGAACAGTGATTGTTTGCTGCCTTAAGAATTTTTATGATCTGAACACTTCCCATTATTTAAAATAAATACTGAATATGTTGAAAATCAAAGTTTTCAGGAGGCCGGTGTCTGCCTTGCTTAAAAGGTAAATCACTAGCCGTGCCCCCACGATCCCAGCCCCTCTTGTGGGTTTTTGTGACATAAAAGCATCTGCTGGCTTGATCATTTCTGTGCCTCACTTCGTTTTGTTAAAAATAAGGGTCTCGTTGTTCTCATTTCTTCCCATTTATTTACATAGAAATTTTCTTTCTCTGTCTTATCTTAGAGGCGATCACAACTATTCATCTCTTCATTTTAATGTACTGTGGTTGTCCTCAAAAGGACATACTGTCCCTTCTACCAATATTTCTCATCTATTCAACCAACGCTAATGTTGACTCTGAACTCTCTAATTTAGAATCCTTTCAGACAATGTCATCATGGGCAGAACAGAAGTGCTTGGACCCTTTCATGATCCTGAAGCTGAAAGGAACAGGGCTGAGCAGGTTTTTGTGGCTTAAAAGGTAGTTAAGTACCTGATATTCCCAAAACAAATCATTTCTTTAATTTGGTACAATACTGAAAATTCTAATCACAAGCATTTATCTCCAGAATTTATAAATGAGACTTTATACAGCTAATTTGTCTCCAGAAAATATAAAGAAGATTTTATACACCCAAATTTTAAAAAAATAAGCTGGAAAAGAACACAACTTGAGCAATGGAGTAGACATTTGGCTCTGGAATGAGCAGTACTCACACATGAGAGAAGGCTACAAAAATACCATTACCGACTGCATAGAGTTCTTGGGAGTGATGGGAAACACCCATTATCAAAGATCACTTGGGCCAACCAGATGGTAGTGAAGCCACTGGAAGAAAGGAGTAGGGAGAATGATGGTACTGGTTCTTAGACTGAAGAACAAATGTCAATGAAGATTCTCAATCAGTTTCCAACAATAGTTGAGGGAAATGTTCTAACAATGATACAGTCTATAGTGTGATGATATTGAACCCAAAACTGTGATCTTTTGGTGGGTATGTGGCATTTCCTTATATATCTTGTATCTATCTCTGTAACCTGTAAACCATCATGGTGTGTGGAACACTATATGTAGTTTCGTACAAATAACTGATGATTGATGAAGACCGAGTAGTAATGGACAATTCATGTTACATACTTAACTTCGTGCTTAATTGCTTTATGTTACAGGCACTCTTCTCTTCTTTGCTAAATTTGAGAATACTGGGGCTCAGAAAGATATTCAGTGAGTTGAATATGAACATTCAAACCCAGACAT